ACGGGAGCAAGGGCTCTGGTGGAATGAATACCAGCCTACCTGGCAAAGAACAGGCTCTAAGCCTCTCTCTGTAAATCCGCATAACTTGGGCCAGTCACTACCTTCTCAGCATCTTTTCTGAGCTGTAAAGTCAAAGAACTAAACTAGACAATTTTTTAGGTTTCTTTCAATTCTCTATTTAATTCTATAACCAGAGAATAGAAAAAGTGGGTAAAGAGCGTGTAGGATACCAGCTGGTTGGGAGGATGAGTCTTCCAGGCTTTTGTTAAATTAACAAAGCCTGGCTGAGCTGCACTGTTTCCTCCACACCAGAGCCCCCAGTCTGAGCTATCCTTGCCTCCCTCAACAGCCCCCACACCCAAATTCCACTCAGTCACTTTTGGGATCCTCAATTTGAAGCAATACCTAGCAAAGTGCTCTGCAAATGTCACTAATATTTGCTGGCTTCATTAGAAGCTTCAACAGAGTATGATGATTATAAATTACAATACCCTAATTCAACTCCCCAACAAAGAAACATAAACACAACTAAAGCATGTTTCTAATAATGCCCAGCACTCACCAATATTATAACACACCACTACATTTTTTATCAAAACAATTGCAAAAGAGCAGACAACATTCCTTTCTTATCCTTTACCAGGTACCACTAATGATCCCTCTTAAGCTCTTTTGAGCCAGGTCCCCAGTCACAAGACATAAAGATAAAAACAGAGGGAAGAATTCAGCCAGCCCACTTCTATTCTTTGTATTCACTTCTTAAGATGCTCAGGGTTAAACTGTTTACTTTGTTTAATGCCATTCTCATCCATTCCACAGATCACGTTTGACTACTGTGCTAGCAGAAAAGGCTTCAGAAGAGGGAACATCTTCAGGACAACCATAGCATCCTCTAGGACACTATCATATTGGCTTTTTATTCTCTTCACAGCTACTATCACCACCTGACAATCTTATTTACTTACTGTTTACAGTCCATTCCCAAAGCAGGTTCCTTTCTCACCACTGCAACTCCTATGCTTAGAACAGCACCTATAAATACTTGTTAATGAATTAGAACAGACACACAGAGGCCCTTAATCCATGTTCAGGAATGTGATGCTCAAATATGGAAACCACCTTCCAATTAGGCTGCTATTCAAGTGTTCCAGTGAACTCCCACCCCTTCCTATAGGACAGCTTACACGTAGATACTGCAATAAGGATATTCTCCCCAGTAGCTAATGTTTTCTCCCTCTCAACTCCCCACAATGAAGCATCAGATAGCAAGCCACAGATATACCAATAAGTCACTTCATAGTTCATCTTCCTGCTGGGTCATGCACATTACCTACAAAGCAAACAGCTCTAATGCAGAAAGTACTGATTGCCTTTGTCGCCATGAGAACCTCTTCACCCACACCGCACGGACCATAAGTATTAAGAGGGCTTTCAACAGCCTAATAATAAAAAACTACCCAGTCTAAGTGCAATGTGACCAAATCATGCTCTACAAAAACCTTGATCTCATTATATTTAAAATGTATAACGTTGACATACAGTTTTACTCCAACATAAATAGGGTATTGTTTTATTTTGTTACTTTTACCTCCACAATAAGAAAAAATTAAGGCAGTAGTCAGAAGGCTGAGACAAAGCTAATGAACAGGAAGAACCTTAAACATAAGCCCCTGTGAGAAAGGCATAGTAGGGACTGTCTTTTGTAAATGTATCTTTTGAGTCCCATCTGGTCAAACTGAGAGTAGACACCAGATATGTGATTCCTATACACTGTAAACCAGTAAGTGGAAGAGAGACAACCCTCACACATTATATCACTCCTTGTGCTGATAAAAGAAGTTTTTAGCTCAAGATAGAACGGTAGAATTAGATATGAAAAAGCAGCTTTTTAGATTTAATCTCAGTGTACTGGGAAAACTAGCAAAAATACATATATGGGGAATGTAAAAGTTTAGAAAGCTCCCAGGGGTCACTAAACCATATGACAAGAGTCACAAAAACCACACTTTCCAGTATTTTGCCCAAGTCCAGATTTCAAGTTCATTACAACTTGGAAAAAAACAAAAATACACAGGGTACAGCAACAAATATGGATTCCAAGGCCAATCTATCATTAGCTGATTTGTGCCTCGAGCAGTGAGCTATAAATGGTCCTAGTAAAGGCTTTGGAGCCAAGGGGAGGACAGTTACACCCGAGCCCTGATCCTTACTGTATCTGTGACCTCTCAGGGAGCAGAGATGATTTACCTCTCAGATCTGCTAGGTGGATTTTGTAAGAAAAGTTAAAATACCTTGGGCAGCATACTGAATTTTTTTTTTTAACAAAAGTTAGCATCTTTTCCTATCTATATGACAAGAAGATTGAACTCAACAGAAGCCTACTTCTAATTTCTTGGTTTAAATAGGTATGATTTCTACATTCCACTCCATTTTATAAAGTTAAAAAAATGGCATACCACTAAAAGGTTATGGAATGTAAAACCATGTCTCCTGACATCTTACCACCTTGGCAACCTTCACTCACATACATACACACAAATTACCTCTATAGCATAAGAATTTTATAATTTTTTCCTAAGTTATACACAAGTGTAAACAGATGTGTGATAACTGCTTTAGAAGTAATTAGGATCCTTTAATCTCACATTAAACACAAGGTCATAATTCAAATACCAACACAGAAAAAGTGCTTATTTTGGGATATTCCCAATAATTAATCTGCATAACCAAAGAAGTGTCTGCCTAATGTTATAGGCCTGATGTTAACATACAAGAAAAACTCTACCAATCCGCCTCCAAAGTCAACATTATAAGCACCCCTCCCAATGCTGAGACCCTTTCTGAAACTGTTTATACAGGCTGAATAAAAACGTAAATTAAGAAAGACATATTACACTACATTACGCACATGTCCTTCAAGCATCACAGTACATATAGAATTTTAGACAAGACCAACTTTTGGGTCTGGTCTAGAAGGACCCAAAAGCATGGCCTAAGGGCCACCACACACCATAAAATCAGTGAAACTAACTGGGGTTCTTCACCATCTGAGAGAAGCATCAGGCTACCATTAAGGAATAAATTGAGGATGCAAAAATTAGTGCACCCTGAGGTGGTGATTAATCCCACTAGCATACCATTTCACAGAAGGTATTTTGGAATCCCACTTTATCCCTACTCTGAGAATACCGAAGCTGGAAATTTCAAAAACTAGCCAAAAACCAAATATCTCCTGAAAGAACTTTAAATACAATCACTCCACAATGCCCTTTATAAGAAAGATCTTGTAACTCCTTGCAGCCAGCTAATACACACAGACCCAAACACACTTACGTTACGTTATCCACGGTTCCAAGTAGTCAAATGCTCTCTGAAATTTTTTTCCTGATAACTTCTTGAACAGACAAAAAAATACAAGGCACATTTAGCATAAGCTAGAATATGCTTTCTGAGAAGCACTGAACAGCATCTAGGATTTCAGGAAAAACTGTACCCTGACCAAGTTTTATGCTCTGCGGCAGGAAGAGACTGGAAACGAAAAGTGAGACAGACTTTTAAAAGCCAGGTAAGGTATAGCATGCATTTCTCAGGTAGGTTGCCTATTGCTAAAACAAAAGTACCAAATAGGAGAGACAAAAACAAAAGTATCCTAACCTCTGTCCTGTCTGACCTGGAAGACAGTCCTCATTTAACACAGGAGGAAGCCGGAGCTTTAGGAGTAGGGAATTTGGCCAAGGTTAGTTTATTTGGTGGAAAAGCTGTTAGTAGATTCCTGGTCTACCAGATAGGAGTTCAGTTCAGTTGCCCAATCCACTGAGCTGCCACCCCATGTGAATTTTTTTTATAAAACTCTTCACTGAAGCTGTTGACATAAGGGTCCAATTATCATTCAAAGATCTGCGTGTTAGATAACAGCTCGAAAATTCCATCCATTTTACAGCAGTTACCAGAGTCATCTAATCTTCAAGGGTTGGGGGGAAGCAAAGAGGGAATGGGTGAGGAAAAAAAACCCTAATTTTTATCTGTTCCCTAAGGGCAAACTAAAGGATTGCATACAGACAGACAGTGCTAGTATCCACAACCACAAAAACAGACAATAATCCCCACCCACAGGCCGAGGAAGGCGGCCGCTCCTCGGCACCGCCTCCCCCCGCCAATTCCACTCCCACCCCGGCGCACAGGAGACATTCCACCTCCCGCCAGAGCGGGCTAGGCGGGATCGGCTACTCTCCTTCGACCACTACTTTCCCCCCAAAAAGGGACGGGAAGCTTAGAGCCTCATACCCCTCAAACGAACGCTCGCCCGCCCACGGGGACCACCGGATCAACACCCCGCCCTGCTCACTGCTGCGGGGAAAGGGGCAGAAAACCCCACGCAGGAAGTGTGTCCCGCGCTCCCCTCCCCGCCCCCCACGCCGGGACCTTGCGCCCTGCCCGCAGATACCTGTCCTCCTCCCCCAACAGACGATTAGTAGCTGCGTCCACATGGCTTCAGGTGTTCACATGGCAAAAAACGGGCCCTAGTCCCTCCGGCGGCAGGGGCGCGCTCCGACTCCCGGACACTCAAAGCTGCCGAAAGTCCGGCCCTCGGCCCGCCGGCTTCGCCCCCAGCCCGCAGCTGAGGGGCGAGTGCTGCCGGACTCGCGGGGCTACCACAGGTCCCGGGGCGGGCGGCACTGACCCTGCCGACCCTCGGGCACCAGCCGCTCACACCAGAAGCCGCGACCAGCAGGTATCTTCCCCCGGCACCTTCAGGTTAGGGCCGCTGCCCAGCCCTGCCGGACCGAGACCTCTCCTTAAGGAGACCAGGCCGCTCCTCCCTGCACCCCCGGGCCGAGCAGGGGCATTCCCCTCAGCACCCCGAGCTCCGGCCTCGGAGTCCGGGAGCTCAGCACTCCCAGGTGGGGCCGGGCAGGACCTCTGCCCCAGTCTCCGAGGCCGGCCACCCCGGCCTGGCCCCAGCCCTCTGGCCCTCCCCCTCAGGCCCCGGCGGCAGTTACCTACGGGAGCCCCCTGCCCGGTCCCTCGGCCTCAGCCGGGGGCGGGAGGGGAGGGAGCGGCGGCGGCGGGCGGCGCTGCTCGGGGTGGGGGTGGGGGAGCCTCCACCGCCTCCAGGTCGGGCTCCCGGGCAGGCGGCGGGGCGGGCCGGGGCCGCGGCCCCTAGAGGCTCGCTCCGGCCCGCGCGCTCGCTCCCCGGTCGGGCGCGCCTCAGGGCAGGCTCCCCCGGCAGAGGCCGCGGCCGCCTCGCAGGGGCCGAAAGCGGCTCAGCTCGGGGTTTTTTCTCTCCATTCTCCCAACACACAGGAAATAACAGAGCGTCAGGTGACAGAGCGCAGCCAATGGGGAGGCTCCGGGCCGCGGCGCGCGGGCGGGCGCGCGGCGGGGGCGGGGCCGGCGGGCGCGCGCGTGCCCACCCGCGTGTGGTGGCGCCGTGGCCTACGCGCGCCGGGCCGGAGCGCAGAGACCCCCCCGCTGGCCCCCGACCGGGGTCGCACGGAGTTCCCCTCAGTAGCTGCCGGGTCCAGCGCGCGCGCCGCCCTCGCAGTGCCATCTTGGCCCGCGGCTCCGGGCCGTCCTGGGAGTGGCCGCAAGCCAACTTTCTGGGGAGTTGGTGGCCCGGAATCTCTCCCTGGGATTTCTGGAGTTCCCTGGAGCCTCCAACGCCAGAATCGTGCCTCTGGCTGCCTGGGGAGTCCGCGGGCGAGGCTCCGGCCTCCTGCTGGTAACCTGCTTAGTGGCACCGGGCAAGGAGGCGGCTCCTGTCCGCCTAGCGCTCTCCGGGGCGGCAGGCCTGGTTGCCTTGCCGTCTCCAACCCCCTTGGCGTCGCGCGTCCTTGGAATGAATGCCTTGGGGCCTCTGGGAGCCTGTTTCCTTCTCAATAAAAGCGAGGCAGGGGAAGGCCCACCAACCTTCATATCAAATAGATGCTCACCAAATGCCAGTTGCCTTGGCCGCAGGCAGCATAGAAAAGCTGCAATGCCCGGCTTGCTGCACCCAGAGTCCAGAACTAATTTGGAGGGAAGGTGGAGGATTTGTGGTGCCAAGGCCCCAGGCCATTCCCAGCCTTCCTTTGCAAATCTCATGTATGTTGTATGGAGCAAAGGAATGGCTTTTGACTTTTTTTTTTTTTTTAAGAAAATCTCAGTTGTAGAACCACCACTGAGATGTTTGTGCCCTGTGACTCACTGCTATCAAAAGTGTGGCCTGTGAGGGTAGGAAGTGTTTGGAGTGTTTGTGATCCTGCCTCTGGCTTACCCAGGGACCTGGCCAAATTCTCTCCCACTCCGGGCCTCAGTTTTCCACTAGTACAATGAGGAGGAGAGTTTGGACTAGATGTCCCTAATATTGGCTAAAATTGCTGATTCTAAATTAGGCCCCCCCCAACCTGCCCTAGATGTTAGGGAAGTACACTACACGACTTTCTTTTCTGAAGCAACTCAACTTGAAAGTAAATTGGAGCTGGAAGAGTGCTTTGGGCAGCAGGTGGAGGCTGAAAGGAACCAGGTGTGGCCTTTAGTATATTGGAGGTACACAGGTTTCCAGGGCTTAACTCTACCTTTTCACCTCTCACCCTGTCTAGCGCACTTTGCCCTGCCTCAGGCCACCCGAGGATGTGTCCTAGCTATGGCAACACCTGCCCCTAGTAAAGGGATCTGGGCAAGGCCTAAGTTGGTTCTGGCACCTCAGGAGGATGTGGCTGGGGAAGCCAGTGATTTCTCCAGGCTTCTACCTAATCTCACAAAGTAGGGGCTGGCTCCAATGTGGGTCAGGGCTATTCTTGGAGACTTGATTCGCCAACACCTCCCTCATGCCAGGCAGGGTGCCGGGCTCTTTCGGGGCAGAGCTGAACTGGCAGCCAGGCCCTGCCCCCTAGCGTTTCCATTGTTCTGTGAGTTTCATTTTCAAATCCTTGGCACTAAGACTTTTGAAAGACCAGTGTTGGCTTCTGCTTGGGTCAGGTCTGCAGAGGGAAAGTTTGGCGTACTCTCCGCACGGACCCATGTTTTCTGAACAAATATGGAAGGAAGCAGGGGAGCATCCTGAACACTAGTTGTTGGGTGCCCCCTCAATTTCTTGAAAGAACTCATGGAGAAAAAGGAAGACTTCTCCATATAGTTTCCTGCACCGTAATTCCTCCCTTCATTTCCCCTCTTCTGCAGTCACTCTGGTCTCAGAGTGGGGGACTGGAACATGAAGTGGATGGCGACAACCTGTGCAGAGCCTCATTCAAAAGGGAAAGCATACAGATAATTGGAATCCAATTTGTTCTTGTTTGCTCCTGCCTCCTGTTCTAGAACTGACTCTACAGCTCCCTCCTACCCCTTTGACCCTGCTGGAACACTGCCCAGCTAATCTCCAGCTGGAAACTCCCCCTATTCTAGGGCCAGGCAGCCTGGATCTCTTCATCCCTGGCAGCCTGTCACTTTTCCTTTTTGGTACCATTCAGAAAAGAACATGTGTGGGTATTATGGCCAACAGACAGATTTGGGTTACTCTTGGGCTCTGTGGCCTTGGATAAGTCATTGCACGTCTCCCAACTCCGAACCTTGGTTTCCTCAGCTATAAAATGACCTATTGATAAGGTATTATGGGACTCTTTTAAAGAGATCTACATAAAGAATTCAGTACAGTACTGTACACAAACTAACAACAGCTACACTTGTATGACGGGGACACAATGAAAAGCAAGCAGACTGAGCTGCCCAAGATCCCACAGCAGCTATTGTGCCATAACTGGGAGCCCCCTTCTCTTTGACTGCATAGCGTCTTCTGTTCTCTTCTTGTCTCATCTGTGAGAATCCTGTTTTTTCTACCACACTTTAGGGAAGGGACAGTAGGTTCATTTTTTTCTCTCTCTCTCCTAAGCCAGTCTACTCGAAAAATACGTATTGAACTGAATCAGTGGTTTCAATTTCAGAAGCAAAATTAATCCTTTCCCTCCTCCTCCAGCTCAGAGATGGCTTTTGGAAACCCTGTGTCACTCCCTTTATTACAAACTCCTCTGCCCTCCTCCAGGCGCCTGGGCCACTCCGGGATTACAAATGGAGCCTTCTGCCTCTAGGTCACTGGTTCTGCTACCATCTGTCAGCACGGATTGATTGAGGAGACTGGCCCTGCTCAGCAGATCAGTGACTTGTGCGAAGTGAGCTGGGGCATCAGTGCCTTCGGCAGCAGGCGGATGGCCTTCTTCTCACTCACTGGCTCTCCTGAGCATGCATAAGGCCCTCACCTTTATCCTTCAACTCGGCCCCAGCTTTCCTTGCTCTCGGGAGGGCCTCCTGCTAACTCTGGAACACCAAGAGGGAGGCCTGCAGTTCCTGCTCACAGTCCTCCAGGAAACAGCTCATGAAAGCATCTGGGTCACAGACCAGGGAGCCCCCCAGAGCATCCTGTGAAACCCGTCCCAAGCCAGGCAAACCCAAGAGAGCACAGACAGATCCCTCATGGGCATGCCTTCATGCTGCACAGGGCACCTGCCGGGGGCCCTGATAGGGGGAGCACAGGGGCTCGGAATAAGTCCCTCTGGGGAAAGGCAGGCAGGCTCTAAGACTAAAGGGGTTGGGGAGGTGCAGAGGGCCAGGGGATTCCAAGACTTACAGTGTGGAGACAGCCACTCGCTGTTCCCAGGAGGGTAATGCCCAATGCAAGGCTAGGGGAATGGGAGGTTTACAAAACAGAGATACTTCTGCTTTCCTTGGGTCTTCTGCATCCTATGGAGGGTAAGGCGCCATCTCCATAAAAATGACAATGTTAACCGTGACAATACAGCCCAGAGAAAGCCAAGCTTACTGTGAACAGGCTCTGTGGGTTTGCAACAACCCACTTTACAGATGGGGCCACTAAGGCACAGAGAGTTTAAATACCTTGCCCCAAGTCACACAGCTTGGAAGAGGCCATGCTGGGATTTGAACTCAGATCTATTGAGGTTGCATTCTTTAACCACCAAGCTTCCCAGCCCTCAGTTAACACTGGAAAGATGGAAGGATGCCCACAGTTGGTGGGTGTCAAAGGCTGCATGTGGATTGGGAAAGAGACGTGAGGACAGCAGGGTCAGCACCAGCCTCTCCCAACAAGTAACACATGAAGCCTAGAGGCTGGGCAGTTTGCAGGCACTGGGACTTTCAGACCCCATGCCTGGAAGGCTGGACTGCCTGAGTGGCAGATGCCCTCTGTCAGCTGCTGTGTCAGTGCACTCTTCCCACAGGTGAGCAGAGAGAGACCAGAGCAAACGCAGCTGAGCCCCTGGAGGCCCCTGCAACCTGGGCACCTGGGTGGTCACCCCTCATCCCACTGGGCACTCCTGCTCCTAAGGGCTCCACTCTCCCTGGGCAGCCCCTAGAGTGGTGGCCCACGCAGGTCTCTGAGCAGGGGCCCAGCCTGCTCCCACTGTGTCTGTCCTTCAGCCATCACTCAGTGGCTCTGAGTGTGTGTTTTCATCTGGAAATTGGAATGGGTGGGAGGAGGGGCTGAGTGACCTGCCTGCCTTCAAGTCCCTTACCTGGATGACCCCATTCATTCCTCCCATCAACCTTAATGAGATAGGGATTGTCATCTTCACTGTGCAGAGAAGGAAACCTACACAGAGAAGTTAAGAGACTTGCCCAAGATCACACAGCTGCTATCAAGCAGCAGAGTTTGGATTCCAAGTCAGTGTTCTGGTTCCAGAGCCCCCACTGAGTGAGTCACATCATTACAAAGTGTTAATGTAAGAAGAAATTATCTAACAGTAGTGGTGACAAACGCATGTTCTGAGTGCTTTGCCTGCATTAACTGGGAGCCCCCTTCTCTTTGATTGCCCTATGAGGTGGATACTATCATTACTTCATTTTGCAGGTGGGGAAACTGAGGCACAGCAGCTTGGAAGGGCAGAGGTGGAACCTAAACCCAGGCCAGTCAGGCTGCAGAACCTCCCCATTGCTTTATCATAAGAGGACAGTAGGGAGGTTTCTTTCCATTGGGATTACTTCTGGTTGAAAGCACAAGACTTTTAGCCCCATGACTGCCGGGCTCTGCAGGCAGGCAGTGCTGCATGCTGAGGCATGCCGGGAAAAGACTTTGTTCTATCCTGTTTTGTTGACATGCCCTTCATTTTACGTCTGAAACCCAAGCTTCCTGCAAAGAATTCAAACCGTGGAGAAAAATTCGGCCATAATACAGCCGCTACTTTCTGAGCCTCCCTGTGCTTGGTGTTCTCTGTGCTTGGGGCTCCGTGTGTGTCCTCCCACTTAACCTTCACAAGGCCCTGCAGCCCCCACTTCACAGCTGACAACACAGGAGCCTGGAGTTGC